TATTAACGATGAGTCGAATTGAAAACACTTATTACTTCTGATTCAAAAAAGGGAATATTCTCATTGCCTTACCCCATTGACTATCAATTCATTACCGCCAACTACGTTACAATTCTACCACTTCAATCACTTCCCTTATCCTCTCCTTCACTACTCTCACTACTTTTACTTGTTATTAATGTTAATGCTCTTATTGTCATTTATTAGCTTTTTTGGCATCAATAAAATAAATACTGTCAACAGCAACATTCGTGAGAATTAGCAGCAATTGTAAACACAAACACACTGAGTTCAAAGTAAGCTTAGAAGTTTACATCAAGTGAGTGTGAGCCAGGGCTTGCACTTCTCTTGCACCCCGCCTTATCTGTTGGGGTCAAGTTAATGTCAATTCAGCTTAGAACGTTGCTAAAGGGAAGCAAATTTATTACCACCTATTCACATTCGCCGCTCGACATTCCTATACTCAGAATGCAAATATGATTGTCCATATCAATGCTGTAGTGATGTTACTGCACAAAGTAAGGTCAAACCGATGTACAATCTACTTAAATCTGAGTACCACTCAGCACATGCACAATTTGTCATCCCAATCGGCACTGCCCGCTCATCAATAGCGTTATTTCCTAACATCCCCCTCACACCTTTACTACATTCCAACACGTACTAAACTTGTATCAACACTGCACCATTTCTGTTAATACTACTCACTAAAGGTGGCTTTACCCTTGGTTCAAAATTTCATTCACATGAAATCGTCTACCAACTAATGTGTTCATCCCTAGTACTACGGCATACTTGACATCTCAAAGTAAATTGGCAATGCCTCTTTGACCATCTTCACTGAACTCAGAATTCCAGCTAACAAGCGTAGGACCTCACCACTCCACCGCTCTCCAATCCACTACAATTAAAACATTCTTGAAATGACACAATTTTAAGCCACTCCTCTAGTCCCCTATCTTGTATGTACGTTAATACCCTGAGTTGGTCAAAGAGGGATTCCGATCTCGAAATATGACGTGAAGATGGAGGAAGTAGATCCATTAAATCAGTTAAAACTATGTTGATGATGGGAGGAAAATCATTCGTCATAAGCTATGTCAACCTATCAATCAAATAACACAAACATCATTGTTCATTAATCTGAGGTCTTTGAATGCCACAAGTTGACACAGAGATGGGCTAAATTACATGGTTATATACCTGAACAGCGATTCGTGATCAATTCACTCGGCTTGGGCTGAATGTACATTTTAGCCACCTTAAATTACTATATGGTCAAATTGTTTAAAATTCTTTCAATACTTATGTCTGACGTCAAATGAACAACTTTAAATTTATAGTGATTATTTCGAAAGACACTATAGAATTAAAAATTGTGCAAATCGTATTTGATTTAAACAAAGTGGGGTTTCTAACAACATCACCGCTGGGATCCGCTGGAATCCGAGTGAGATTAGTAGCCGCAATTTTGATAGGAAGATGAGCATAGCACTCTTCGTACTACAAGCTGATGTCAATAACTGCACATACTCAACAAATGAAGTATATGGAAGGGAATGCATTGATCCACTTATAAATATCCCGCACAACACAGCTCATAATTAGGAAATAAATTCTATGTGCTTACAGTATGCGCATACAGTGGCTGTAATGCAAACACGTCTCGAGGACTATATGAGAAATATCGATTGGCTTGATGGCAAGCTATTTCCACCTGCCAATGAGTTAGAGCTTTGCCTGGATAAACTGCACTCCATCCGCTACCACGCCGCTGAGGAGAAGAAGGTGAAGCTATCACGATCCCAATCCGATGGACTCCCAAAGACCACCACCACCATCACCCCCACCACCACCACCACAACTGCCGCCGGCTCCAAGTGTCCTGTTTATTTGCGATTATTTAATAAGAATAGTATTAGTAGATTGCTGGTTCAATGGGAGCATGATAAGATCATTAATATCATAGAGCGTAGTGGTTTTACAGTCACCTATTCTCACGCAGTGGATTTACTGGTGATTGTTATATTTGATGCTGTTGTGCAGATGGAGTGTCGGTAACTTGTGTCAAACCTAGTGAAGTCACAGCACACTCTTCTAATTCTCCATGTAACTGATCCCTCAAGGCACAGTGGCATGTCGAATGAGGAGTGGATAAGGGAGTCAGTGGGCACTTGATATAGTCACCTAGTTAGACTTTCATCGAGAAGGTGCGAATTTAACGTATAGGGAAGAAGAGATGCGCGCCTCTCGACCTCACCGCTCCCATGAAGTGGGCTTCTAGTATGGTTGGCTCATCTTCTTACAGCTCCTAACCTCACCTTATCCACCACGTACTAGAAGGCCGTCCAACATGAGCCACCTCTTCTCCATCCACCTCCCTGTGTTCCAATTTTGCTTTTTTTCTTGTACAAGAAATAACATTCAATGGAGAATTATGTGAGAAATATCGAACGGTGTGTTGTTGTGGTGATTAGACCGCCTATCATTTCGATAACTTGCTCAATCTCACTGTTGCCCTGGTGGAGGTGTAACAAAGGTTACAATAGCGGCAAAGAATGTTTATAAGCGCCCCCATGGGAGAGACAGATTTGAATTTGATGCAAAGTATATTGGAAAGTGGTTTCTGGTAAGAATGCTTGTTATAGCAACCACTAACAAAGTCCTTGGCGCCCTCTTACCTCCAATTGACTAGGCGGCACTCTACTCCTGAGTAAAACAATATGCTTTGAGTGATCAAATCTCGTCAAATCTAATATGCGTCATTATTCTCATGTGACAAGTTTCTTTGGAGGAATTATTTAGAAAGTATGGTTTTTATGGCCATACTTCGGTGTCTGTATCCCACTCGCTTGACGATGTAGTGATAATATATGATACTGCAACAAAATAAACATGTTTGTTTTAATGTGTCTGTGAATAAAATACAGTTATCAAAATTTGCAAATAGTCTTGAGCTAGAATTTAAAAATTTGTGAATATGGGCTGTAAGTTAGCAGTCGGTCAGTCAGTACTTGGAGGGGAGGGTCTAAAGGGATACTTGAGGCGAAAATGCGGTCTAGGGCCAGAATTTGGGACAACGACAATTTATAATTCAATCACGATATTTAGGAAACTGTCAACTAATGGCTTCATTGGTCATGAATTGACTTTAACGGATAGACTATTGGCAACTGAAAGCGCGATAGAGGTCGCAGCTATTAGACGAGTAGTCAATGTTATACCCTTCATAATTAAATATTGGTAAGCCACTGATAATTTGACTCTATTTCCCAAAATCAGGCCTCATCATCTTGTGTCATTGTGATGTGAAAGATTATGAATCAGTCAAATAGAATCACCAACACAATTACAACCTGATAACGCAGAATTTGACAACTCTAATTACTTGCCGGTGTAACTAACGCTATGAAATTTTCCCGTAACCTTAAATCCAGGCTTCTAAATTTTCAAATGCTCGATTTTAAAGATTTAAAAGAACAGCTGATTACGGGGTGTGCAATAGATTTACCACCACGTGGTGCACCCTGGGCAAAGTATACTCATACGGCAAAAGAGTCTATTAGCCGGTAGTTGACTTTTGACTTTAAACTACCATG